CATTTTAGACCTTTGTAAATACCTGAACTGAAAGTTTTTATTTGCAAATACATACAGGCTGTGTAGATTTCACAATTAAAATGATGTTTTCTTTGCTGTTTACCTTTTGTTCACATATCTATCTCAATAATATTCATGTTTTCGATTATCCGGACTCTCGATTATCCGGACTATTTACCGAGGTCCCGACGAGTCCGGATAATCGAGGTTCGACTGTACAAGCGTCTTCACTTACCAAGTGATAAAAGCATTAACAAGCTAGAGGGACGCAACCAGTTCTTTTTGAAGGTGACCCAATTGTCCGTGCTCATTTACAACTCGAAAAGCAAGGCCATTTTTGTCTATTTTCTTTAAAACTTTAAAATCTTCACCCTCCTTCGCGTCAGAGCAGCACTCTTCGTAGCTTTTAACTACGCATTTAAAGCTAACAACCCACAGTCCATCTGAAGCCGTTTCTTCAGGATGTCTGCGCTTGCCAAAACACGTGTTATACTGAAGTAACTCGAGCTTCGAAAAACTTATCCTTTTTAACAACTCGAACAGCAGTTTTAAAAAAATCAAAAGTTCGGAAATCGAACGTTCGATTGATTTCGATTGCCCTCTTTTGTGTGTTCATCTACGTCCACATCCCTGCATAGTGTCCGGGAAATTTCTCTCCATAGGTAGTCGTATTTTTCCGTTCGGAACGAAACGGCAGAAATTTCCTTACAATTTACTAAATTCTAGTCTCGAGGGGAAATCGAATTCTAAATGGTAAGCGCCATCGATCTCGTTCAGTTGGTTTGTTGATTTTGGAAAAACCCTTATCATTATTCAAGTGTCATCCTAACTGGTTTATTCTGACAAATGTTAAGCACTCCATAAAATTGCCCACGTTCAGAACGGTTATAAACCCAAATAACATAATAGAAAACAAGTGGGTGATTCATAAGAATTGTTATAAAAAATGCCTTTTCACTCTTGTCACCCTTGGCTACTCTTACACGGTTTGCGAGGAAATTTTGATGCCACCAAATATCTTTCCCACGGATTCGAAGAAAGGATCGAAAAAGGTCCTCAGGCAAAGTCCAAAAATCTTTCCTAGGCACTGTAGCTCAATAACGTAGGCCCTTAGACAAGGCATGATGCACCAAATGTAGTCAAAACTAAGGCAAGCGAAATATATCCCACAAAGCACCGCGGTCGGAATGCCAAGAACGGCTGTGATGATTCTGTAGCACCAGTATTTGGTGTTGACAAATGCTGAGAAACTTGTGCGCCAGATTACGTCGATACTGTGTGAGCCGTCGGGTTCCGCAAACACGTCTTGGAAAAATACCTGGATAAAAACAGAAAACTGGAAGTTTTTTTGTAGTTTAACATCACCTATCTAGAGGGTCTCAATGGGGTTAACCGGGATCCGTAAAATAGGCCAAAAAGTTAGCCGTTAGACGTAAAAATTTGAAAATTTTAGCCATTAGCCTAAAATAATGTTAGCCATAAAACAATATAATTTTAGCCACGAAAGTGATAATCTTAAATCTTTTGCCAACATTGGCTTCTGGTTTGGTAATACAGAGAAAAGCCAAAATATTCGTCAACAATTCTTATAATTATATCTTTTTCCATCCCGACCTTCAATACGTTTTACAGTAATCAAAATAATTTTTTTAAAACAATGAAAATTAATTTTTAACGCGCGGTTTAAAATTAAAATTTCTAAGATTTCTAGCTATTCTGAGAACCGTATTAACGAAAAATAAATTAAACGTTAATAGCAATAGCCACCGCCCCAGTCAGACCCTCGTATTAACATTTAAAAAAGTATGAGCCTAGCTAGTAGGCCATCATGGTCGATCCCGCGCTTATATCCGACCAGGAGTATTTCTACTCCCCCTGAATGGTACGTATATAACAAACGTTCCCGAAGGAGCCAAGAGTTTCTTGCCTGCTAGTCGCGAGAAAATTGGTGTGAGAGGGAGAGAAAATGAGGAAAAAGCTCTTTCGTTCGTACGGGAACGCTTGCTATGCAGGCTAGTAGATTGGATGGTAGTCTGTATCTACGGGGCTACCCCAGCACTAAATTCTCCGGTACTCGATCGAGAGAGGCAATGTGAGAGCGAATAGAATGTCTTGCCCAAGATCAACAACATCATGAGAAGGGAATGTCTTTCTCGCAGGGTAACAAGCCACAAAGAGGGAAAAAAGTTACATTAATGTTACGACATTTAGGGTAACGGTTTGCTTTCCCCTTCATATATGTTTAGTTATTAAAGCTAAAGGTGTATTAGTTTAAAATGTAACTCACCGATATTACTGTAAACACGGATTCTTAGATTTATAAAAAAGCCATGGTTAAAAGCCTTAACACGATGATTTAAAACAATTTTCCAGACTTATTTTTCTTGTAAATTAATTGTTGGTTTAGATATGAGATACACCCAAGTCCATTATCTATAGATACTTGTCGATACTTAGGTTCTCATCGAAGCGACCCGACAAAGCGTTATCTATGTTTAGAGAACCACTTGCACTCAATCGGATAAAAAGCAAATAAAATTTGTGCAATCGTCTGTGGAAGAAACCATAACATGTGACCATTCAAACGAAAGCATCGAACGGTTGTTTTCACACGACGCGGAATCATTTGCGAGAGTTTCGCACACATGTAAGTTGATTTTTTTTGAAGTTCTTTCACTTGTGTCTCTAAGAAATTAATGGATTAAATACAAAGATACATTACTATCGCGGCTTTTCTCCTTACCTTCACGTGGTCATTCATTGATGTGGGATCTCTATCGCCCATACTCATTTGGTGCCCATGTTGCGCTTCATGTTCATTGCCTTTGATCTCAACTTCAACCTCGCGTAGTTCGTCTGTCGAAGACATCTCACCGTACCGTACGTTTCTTTTTCCGGACAGAAAGCTTTCCAACACGTTAAACTATAGTAATATTGTGGTATAACAGTAAAAATAAAGCACAACTGTACGGTAAAGCTCGTCAGAGCACGTGCGTTCAAAGTAAATAGTGCGACCTGATTGGTCAGCTGTGTTTTGTACCTTGTAGTTATTCAGCTGGTTTTAAAAAGGTTTCGAAATCTACATAAATTAAAGAGCAACGAGCAATGTAATTAAATGGAGAAGTAGCGTTAATCGTTTCCTTTTTCTCTTTTCGCGTGTTTGCACGATGAGGGACACCCACGAGCACACTAGCTTGATTAATAGGAAAATGCAACAGGATCTTTGCGACGGAATTTTCAATTTTACATGTAACCCGCTAAGGCCAGGTTCAACATAATATGGTAGAGTTGTAATTAAAATACTAAAAACTTCGTTACCTGCCATTTCTTCGTTTTGTTTTGTTTTGTTTTTTTTACGGGTAAATTCTCTTCATTTGCTTTCTTACAGTTCTTATTGTTCTCGATAGGAGAAATTCGTAATCGATCAAGCCATTTTCTTTTTGACTATCCATTCCCAATTTCCACGCATTTGAGGTCGTAGCCATATTTTGAAGTCCAACCCCTTGATTACGCTTTTATTTGATCTTAAATTTATTTTCTTCTCCTTAAAATTAAAACAACGTAGATCAAGTCAATGAACCACATAAATTCTCTTTCTTGCAAGGGCGATGGAGAACGAAATTTTCGTTTAGAAATTGCTCCAGGTAAACAGGTGTTGTGGTTAGGACAAGTCGGGGGGTGATAACAACTGGAATACATTGCCTCTATGTACCTGTTGATTCTAAAAACTAACCGAATAAAAGAAAAACGAAGGAATCTGCAGAGGGAATTGATATTTTGAGGAACATTAGATTAGAAAGGTCCCGCTTAAGTGTTTTTTTTTTTCCGCTCAGTTCTAGAATCTATGGGCAGTTACATCCTGATTACTACATATACAGTATGCACTTGGATCATATAGCGTGACATGAAAAGAAATGCCATCACGCCGTGAAAGGTTTGTTTTCATGAGACAACTTCATTCCACTGAATATCTTCCCTACAGACTCGAAAAACGGGTCAAAGAAAGTGCGAACACACAGACTGAAGAGCTGCCCAAGGCACTGAAGCTCGATGATATAGGCCCGCAGGCAAGGCATGATGCACCATATGTAGTCAAAACTGAGACAAGCGAAGTAGATTCCACACATGATGGCTGTAGGTACGCCGCAGATGGCAGTGATGATCCGGTAGCACCAGTACTTGGTGGCTACAAAAGTACTGAAGCTGGCTCGCCACACACCATCGATACTGTGAGAACCGTCCGGCTCAGCGAACACATCTTGAAAGAAAACCTGTATGGAGTAATAAAAACCTGTGAATGACCTGTGAATGTATTTTGGTCCCCTTCTGACCCATTCCCAATCGTCTTGCTGCGCCTTTCAATAACATGCGAACTCTAAAATACAAAGCTCAACCGACAAATGCGTTTTTCGCTATAACAAGCGACCGTCAATCAAATGTTCTGCGGCTCCTCCCAGCTTCCGACTACTGCCAAGCACTGTTTCGTTGTCTGAACTGTGCGTAACGATTTGATTACCCCGCGTTCGGCAGTAGTTGGAAGCTGGGAGGGGCCGCCGAACATTTGACTAGCGAAAAACGCATTCGTCGCTTGAACTTTGAATTTTAGAGTTCGCATGTTATTGAAAGGCGCAGTAATAGCAATTTTCCTAGAAGCGCGTGCTCCTCTCCCAAAAAGCGGCTGGTAATCAACACTTTTAAATTATTACTCTTATCAGGAGTATAGTCTTAATATAATCAAGCTTAGAGAAAGAGGAGTGCCTCCTTTTTCTCGGATCTCTCAGAGTTAGTCGAAACGCACGCGCGCGTGTGTAAAAATAACGGCCCCGGGTGCTCGCCAACTTTTTGACTAGCCATGAGATATAATGTGGGAAATTTCGAAGCCTATAAAAAGTTTTCTTGGTCCAGGAAATTAATGCCGTTCGTTGTAGATGCTCCTTGAAGCGCTAGAAGAATTTTCGATATCTGCTACCTGTATGGGCTCAGTGATTTTTGTGGCTATTGTTGCTTAGCAACAGTATCCACTAAACTGTCGCTTCCAGTGGTTCGGGAAATGTTCGAGACATCTCGATACCTCGGAAATCTACTATCGGTGCAATTCGATAAGTAATCGGATGGATAATTAATCGGATTTTAATTAGTGTAGTTAGTCATTGTTCCTGAAAAGCCCCATTGGGGAGGCAAAGTATGCATGTATGTATATATGTATCATCTCGATACGTCGGAAATCCACTGTCGGCGCACTTCGATAAGACTTTAAGTCGATAAGTCGCTTCAACCTCGCTCTCGTTCAAAGACGGAAATTCAACTAGCCTGCGTAACCGGTGGAATTCACGAGCGAGTAATTTTGGCAGTGAAGCCGCCATTTCAATTCCGCGAGGAAATAAAATTTATTTCTGTGAGGAAATTCGCGAGCGGCAAATCACCAATCTGGAAAAAGAGTTATTTTTTGTTGTCTTTTTTCCGACATTATAATTAATTACTCCAACAAATAGATATCCGTGGTCAATTCTACAGATGTGCAATTTTTTTTTCTGTATTTAACCGTCAAGAAGCCTGCTCACATTCTACGTTTCTCTAGTTAAAAGGGCTTTTGTTCCGGTTTTGTTATATTTTTCGCTTGAATTTCCCTGATACAAGGGATTGAAACATTCTTATCTTGCGAAGAATGCAAAGCGTTTCACAGCAGGGAGGCGAAAAGAGAAATCATATACTTCTGTACCTCTTTAGAACAGGATCAAGTTCGTTGGCAGAAGCTTTAGCGAATTTACGGCAGTGTACAGTGTCATCTTGTCTTGAGAGGCAGCGCCCTACGAGCCGATCATACACGAGCTCCAACCGGATTTCTCGTGATCTTTTATAGCCCGGGTGGCGATGTAAACGTTGTTTCAGTCCTTCTAACAGTGCAAGAAAATTGGGAGGCAACACGAGAATTAAACATCGAATTATTCAGTGATAGGAGCTAAACACGTCACATACGAAATGCATCGAAAATGTACCTTGCTCGTCTCCGAAAAAGAAAAAAAAAATCAAAATTTAGCGCGAGTTACTGAAGGTTCAGTAGAAACTATTATGGTAGCGTCCGCGCCGCTTAAACAAAAGTCGCACAAGCCGAAGCTTGTTGTGTGAAGAATCTCCATGCATGATACCAGAGCAAATATTTTTCAAAGAGATATAGTTTGCACTTTACCTTGACATGGTCGTTCATTTTGATGGGATCCCTGTCTTTCATATCAAGTTTGTGGCCGTGGTGAAGTGATGGCGGAACATTATCACCGATCACCAAACGAGGCTTCTCCTCCTCTTGTAGTTCACCTTCGTCTGTAAGGTTTAGCTCGGAAGTCATCTTGGCACAATCAGTTCAACTCTAAAATCGGTTTTAGCAGCAAAGCTAATGAGCGTGCTTTCCGTAATTGCCTGTTGCACGGATCGATGTAAATACACGAGGTCACTTGACCTCAGGAATTCGCTTGTTTTTACAGTGCCTATTTCAAATCGTGTAAGCAGACACCATTTTATCAGTTAGTCAAAAGGTTCCCGACGGAGCGCGCCGAGCGCGGAGATCACCCCACTCCCCCTCCGTCCCTTTAGGCCCTGTCCACACTACGCTGAGGGAATTTTGAAACTGAGGTTTTACTCTGAAAACGCATCAAATGTTTTTCGTCCACACTTCGTCGGAGGAATTTCAAAACGCAACAATCAACAGTCCTTTTGGATTTGCGTTTGAGGAAAATCCTGTCTTGGAAATCACATGATTATTGTGACTTAGCATCGTTTTCGAAAAGCTCCGTTTCCAAAATGTTTTCCAACCACACGAAAACGAAAAGCCGGCGTTTTCAAATTCCTCCGGTTTAAGAGCGTTTTCGAAAAGCTCCGTTTCGTGACGGATTAGTGTGGACGGTATGCATATTTATGATCATCACCTTTTTAAACGCCTTAAAGGGACACAGTCAGCTGGCGCATGTGCCCATTAAATACCATTTCATAGCAACTTGCATATCACAGAGAGGCGATCCATACTGTTTTTAACCAAATAGGATAAAATTATATCACAGGATGAGCAAAAGCACACTCAAAAACAGGTTTTTCAGTAAACAATTGAAAATCAAGCAAAACACTGCGAACTTAAAGTTTATTTTTATTGCCTAAACAGCGTTATCTGATTTATCTTTCCTTCTGTTGTTTATATATCAACCTTCAAACCCCAAAAGTGGCGCCACTGCATTTGGTCGGGAGTACACGGTCCTTATTTTTCCTAATAACAGGTTTTTGCAACGCAAAATTTTGGGGTTTACGTGACCGGCTTCGGGGGCATGTAGGATCCCGTAGGATATTATTTCATGCATCTCTTATTCACTTTGTTGTAAGCTTTTTGTCTCAATTAAAACATATCTTGGTCCTGGCTGACCAACGCGCCCATGCCTTGACCTTTGCATGTGTTCGATCGTGTAGTGAAGGCAAAATAACCTGTTCTAGGGAACGTCCTTCCCAGAGATTTTCCCTTGGGAAGGAGGTCGGTTTCACTCCCAGAACCCCTCGGTTTTCTTTCGCTCGTTTCATTGATTCATTGATTCATTCATTTATTTATCTATCCATTTATTTATTTATTTATTTATTACATTTTAATGGCTAATATTTCTTATTTACAAATAGCGGAAAAAAATGAGATGATAACAGCAATAATAATGATAACAACAATAACGATGGTAATAATATTATAAAAGTGGTCCATAAAATGGTTTAAACCCCATACAAGACAGATCACCTATATTAAATACGAACCTTGTTGAATATATACACCATTGAAAGCTAAAATCAAAGTCACAATGTCCTACGAAAAAATCTTTTACATCAGTCTCTAAAACATGCGCGCACATTCCACGACATTCGAACCTATTAAGGTAGTACGTTCCACACCTCAACTTTGCATTTGCGAATGGAATGCAAAGTTGGGCCAGGTAGCACTGTAAAAAACCAACTTGCCTTAGAAATAACTCTGGCTGGAAGATCAAAGCATCAACATTGGAACACTATTTGCATCTTACGTTGACACTCTTTATGCTATAGACTTTTGTTCTTGAGCCATCGTAGTTTAACGAGGAATAAAACACAAATAGCGGTGATGTTTATCACCGCTATTTGTGTTTTATTCCTCTTTATGCTAGTCACGCGTGAACGAATGCGTGACGAGTTCAAACAGGCTCAGGGATACTCAAAACATACACTCTGTCCACCCTAACAAACATTGGGTATCGTTTTTTCACCGCGTTTTAGGTCCAGTCCACACTACGCCGGAGGAATTTCAAAATGGAGATTTCACTCTAAAAATGCATCAAATATTTGCCTTCCTTCCTTCCTTCCTTCCTTAAAAACGCAACAATCACCGGCCATTTTGGATTTGTGGTTAAGGAAAACTCGGCAGGGGAATCGAAATCACATGGTTTTCGTGACTACATCGTTTTCGATCAGAAAGCTCCGTTATAAAATGTTTTCCGTCCACACGGTAACGAAAAGCCGGCATTTTCGGATTCATCCGGTTTGAGGAGCGTTTTGGAAAAGCTCGAGCTCCGTTTTCGTAACGGATTAGTGTGGACAGTAGGCGTAACCGCAGAAACAAAGCTGCGTTTTCAAATTCTTCCGGCGTAGTACGGACGCTGCTATAGTTAACAAGATCTTATTATCTCAATCGGACCTTGGGGTTCATCACTATCGTACCTGGATGTATGGATATATACGCAATACCGAATTAAAATGCACCAGACCGCTACTTTTTCACATAGAGATAAAAGCCAACTTAAGCTTATATACACTACAGCAAATATACTTTATGTCGATGGCTCTTTCCTTGGCTACATCGCCAGCGGGTGTCTATAGTTTACAGTTACAACTGCGTCCACCACCCATTGACTATTTGTTTCTAGAAAACAGCCCTATGAAAATACGCGCGCTGATTGGTTAAAAATCGTGTTTCTATAAGTCAGTGGAAACACAGAACTAGCACGAACTGTTGACGTAATGATGGCGCGAGCAAAGAGAATTTACATTTTGATGATCGAAGTAAACAAGCTATTTTTCTTTTTTTCGTCGCAGTGTTTGCTAAAAGAAATAGAAAACATGTTTTTCGTGTTTCTATCGTGTTATAGAAACACTCGCGAAAGTTTGGGAGAACCCGAAAAAGCTGTGGAAACACTCGCCTGCGGATCGTGTTCCCACAGCATTCCTCGTTCTCCCAAACTTCCACTCGTGTTTCTGTAACTCGATAGAAACACGGTACATGTTTATTATTTCTTAAATAATCATACTTTGTAACTATTACTACCATGCAAACTCAATCTGCATTGGTAACTGATACCCTGGGAATTATGCAAATGACGGTATAAGACTTTACACTTGTTCTGTGCTATCACTCTGCTCGAGGCCGCGAAAGCCAAAAGGTTGGCGACCCACCCATCACTTTATGAGTAATTTGGGCTTGATGCTGTCCTCTTTTATTTTTCGCCTGGTTTTAGGCTTGGGGAAGGCCAAAGCGATTGCCCGTATCTTATAACCCTGTCATAAATAACAATACCCAGGGTAGCATGTTACATTACTTCCACTAGCGATGCTAGAAATCTAGTTATGATCTTACCCTACACACTCAACCCATTAATAAATGTGAACAGGCCAGGACTAGCTGCCCTACACTTTTCGAATTATGACATGCTTTTCTAACCTATTAACTGAAACTCTCTACTTGTTTACTTCGGACTGAGGAAAGTTTTGGTTACGTAATTCATGCGTAGCGTATTAGAGCAAAACAAAAGACTTTTCAAGGTTGTGGACGAGAACACAAACAATAAAAAACAAACCAAAAACAATAACAACAATAAAAAAACAAGAACAAGAATAAACAAAAAAAAAAACAAAACACAAAAACCAAAACATGCCCCCAAATAAACAAACAAAAACAAACAATAATACAACAATAAACCGACTAAAACAAACCAAAAAATGAATAAAAATCCAAACAAAGAAAGACAAAAACCCCAACCACTCCAGAAAAAAAAATCACAAAAAAAACATCAAAAACAACAACACTTAGCGCAGACCGACACTAATAAGGCTGTTATTCAGTGAATAAGCACCATTGGTGTTAAAGGCCACGCCCTCGTATTTGGAATCATTGGATGCTGTACGGAAGTACGGGGACGAATAATCCGCACACCAATTGTTACACTGCTTGTAACACTCCGTGTAACCGGAAACGAGGAAGCCAGAGTAGAAAGGATCATCACAAATCAGTAGCTGGTAGGAGAAAGAATTGCTTGTTCCAAAACCGTCCCACAATTTATAGGTGCTNAGAAATCTTTTATCAATGCCTCGCCATTGTGTTAATTTATACGAAAAAGTTTTGTGAAGACTAAAGAAACATTTTAGTTTAGGATGGCAGCATTTACTTGTGAAAAAGTGAACTTCTAATATTCTGCTTTTCTCTTAAATTTCTAAACAAGAATGTAGATTCTATTTGGAAAAGTTCCAAATCTGGGTAATCGTAAAAGTACAGTTATTTCTTTTTGTTAAAAAAAAAAAAAAATCTGCGTCCTTTTAAGCAGGTGCTAGTGAAAACATGTTTTGAAAGGAACCATCACCAAGTATGCGTTTGGAACTTATCTCTTGTTTTTCCCGCGCTATTACTGAACAAGTTGTAAGTTGTTGCAAAGTTATCTTGAAATTTGTCGCATATAGCTTTTATGAGCAGTGCTATGTATACCGTTACGGCCGAGGCCTTAAAGTTCATTACGCACTAATCCAGGAAACCCTTTAAGCCCCTACTGGAAATGGGACAATAGGAAAAACACTGAACCCCAGTCTCTTTGAAAGTCGAGCAATAATTTCAACATTTTTATTGGAATAGAGTTTGTGCACTAAGGGTCGACTAAGACTGGACAAGACAGATAGCAGGATGCCGTAAGCCAAGAGGATCGATAACTTTGACATTTCGCCGAAAATTTACGTACGTACGATTTTGTTTTACAGCACCTGTTTTCTTACATCGGTTTTGCGAAAGCCGAATCAATTATTCGTTGTTTTTTTTTCATTAGTCATTGCTAAAGTTCTGAAAAAACGTCAATGTATACGTTTTATCAGACGTTTGTTGTTATTTTCTGGTAGATCATCTCAGTGCTCCTTGCTGTTGAGTTCAACTTCTTGTAACAGACATATGGAAAAGTCTCACAGATAAACTGCTGGTAGGAGTAAAAGTCAGCGCGGAGTCTTATGAGAGCTTCAACGAAAGTTTTTTCTAAAAGATAAAGAAAGAGGAATAATGAAGACACAATCCTGATACAACAGAAACGCGTGTAATGTCAGTAATATGTCGTAAAATTACAATAGCTGTTACAAATTTTAATAAAAGTCGAATTGTATTGTAAATCTGACATTGTAACAGCAGTTACCTTCAACTTTACAACCTGTCCTGAATTATAACGACAGTTAATTGGCGTACGTTATAATTGTCGTAAATTGTTATTGTCGCGTTGATTTGCAACATTTTTTCTCACAAATGACCCGCGCGCAAAATATGGGAGCGAGAACCTGCGAAAATCTATTTTTATTTTGGCGCCTTTTTCGTGGGGCTGACAGTCTAGAAATTAACCTGCATTGATGTATATTTCTAAACATCGGAATCTCGGAAGTCATCTTGGCACGATCAGTTCAACTCTAAAATCGGTTTTAGCAGCAAAGCTAGTGAGCGTGCTTTCCGTAATTGCCTGTTGTGCGGATCGATGTAAATACACGAGGTCACTTGACCTCAGGAATTTGTTTGTTTTTACAATGCCTATTTCAAATCGTGTAAGCAGACACCATTTTATTAGCTAGTCAAAAGGTTTCCGACGGAGCGAGCCGAACGCGGAGATCACCCCACTCCTCCCTCCCTCCCTTTAGGCCCCGTCCACACTACGCTGAGGGAATTTGAAAACTGAGGTTTTACTCTGGAAACGCATCAAATGTGTTCTGTCCAGACTACGCCGGAGGAATTTGAAAACGCAACAATCAACAGTCCTTTTGGATTTGTGTTTGAGGAAAATGCTGTCTCGGAAATCACATGATTATTGTGACTGAGCATCGTTTTCGAAAAGCTCCGTTATCAAAATGTTTTCCAACCACACGAAAACGAAAAGCCGGCGTTTTCAAATTCCGAAAAGTTCCGTTTCGTGACGGATTAGTGTGGACGGTATGCATATTTATGATCATCACCTTTTTAAATGCCTTAAAGGGACACAGTCAGCTGGCGCATGTGCCCATTACACTTAAGTACCATTTCATAGCAACTTGTATATCACAGAGAGGCGATCCATACTGTTTTTAACCAACTAGGATAAAATGATATCACAGGATGAGCAAAAGCACACTCAAAAACAGGTTTTTCAATAAACAATTGAAAATCAAGCAAAACACTGCGAACTTAAAGTTTATTTTTATTGCCTAAATAGCGTTATCTGATTTATCTTTCATTCTGTTGTTTATATATCAACCTTAAGGCCCCAAAAGTAGCGCCACTGCATTTGGTCGGGAGTACACGGTCCTTAATTTTCCTAATAACAGGTTTTTGCAATACAAAATTTTGGGGTTTACGTGACCGGCTTCGGGGGCATGTAGGATATTATTTCATGCATCTCTTATGTTCTTTGTTGTAAGCTTTTTGTCTCAATTAAAACATATCTTGGTCCTGGCTGACCAACGCGCCCATGCCTCGACCTTTGCATGTGTTCGGTAGTGTAGTGAAGGCAAAATAACCTGTTCTAGGGAAAGTTCTTCCCAGAGATTTTTCCTCGGGAAGGAGGTCGGTTTCACTCCCAGATCCCCTCGGTTTTCTTTCGCTCGTTTCATTGATTCCTTGATTCCTTGATAGATAGATTGATTGATTGATTGATTGATTGATTTATTACATTTTAATGGCTAATATTTCTTATTTATAAATAGCGGGAAAAAATGAGATGATAACAGCAATAATAATGATAACAACAATAACGATGGTAATAATATTATAAAAGTGGTCCATAAAATGGTTTAAACCCCATACAAGACAGATCACCTATATTAAATACGAACCTTGTTGAATATATACACCATTGAAAGCTAAAATCAAAGTCACAATGTCCTACGAAAAAATCTTTTACATCAGTCTCTAAAACATGCGCGCACATTCCACGACATTCGAACCTATTAAGGTAGTACGTTCCACACCTCAACTTTGCATTTGCGAATGGAATGCAAAGTTGGGCCAGGTAGCACTGTAAAAAACCAACTTGCCTTAGAAATAACTCTGGCTGGAAGATCAAAGCATCAACATTGGAACACTATTTGCATCTTACGTTGACACTCTTTATGCTATAGACTTTTGTTCTTGAGCCATCGTAGTTTAACGAGGAATAAAACACAAATAGCGGTGATGTTTATCACCGCTATTTGTGTTTTATTCCTCTTTATGCTAGTCACGCGTGAACGAATGCGTGACGAGTTCAAACAGGCTCAGGGATACTCAAAACATACACTCTGTCCACCCTAACAAACACTGGGTATCGTTTTTTCACCGCGTTTTAGGTCCAGTCCACACTACGCCGGAGGAATTTCAAAATGGAGATTTCACTCTAAAAATGCATCAAATATTTGCCTTCCTTCCTTCCTTCCTTCCTTAAAAACGCAACAATCACCGGCCATTTTGGATTTGTGGTTAAGGAAAACTCGGCAGGGGAATCGAAATCACATGGTTTTCGTGACTACATCGTTTTCGATCAGAAAGCTCCGTTATAAAATGTTTTCCGTCCACACGGTAACGAAAAGCCGGCATTTTCGGATTCATCCGGTTTGAGGAGCGTTTTGGAAAAGCTCGAGCTCCGTTTTCGTAACGGATTAGTGTGGACAGTAGGCGTAACCGCAGAAACAAAGCTGCGTTTTCAAATTCTTCCGGCGTAGTACGGACGCTGCTATAGTTAACAAGATCTTATTATCTCAATCGGACCTTGGGGTTCATCACTATCGTACCTGGATGTATGGATATATACGCAATACCGAATTAAAATGCACCAGACCGCTACTTTTTCACATAGAGATAAAAGCCAACTTAAGCTTATATACACTACAGCAAATATACTTTATGTCGATGGCTCTTTCCTTGGCTACATCGCCAGCGGGTGTCTATAGTTTACAGTTACAACTGCGTCCACCACCCATTGACTATTTGTTTCTAGAAAACAGCCCTATGAAAATACGCGCGCTGATTGGTTAAAAATCGTGTTTCTATAAGTCAGTGGAAACACAGAACTAGCACGAACTGTTGACGTAATGATGGCGCGAGCAAAGAGAATTTACATTTTGATGATCGAAGTAAACAAGCTATTTTTCTTTTTTTCGTCGCAGTGTTTGCTAAAAGAAATAGAAAACATGTTTTTCGTGTTTCTATCGTGTTATAGAAACACTCGCGAAAGTTTGGGAGAACCCGAAAAAGCTGTGGAAACACTCGCCTGCGGATCGTGTTCCCACAGCATTCCTCGTTCTCCCAAACTTCCACTCGTGTTTCTATAACTCGATAGAAACACGGTACATGTTTATTATTTCTTAAATAATCATACTTAGTAACTATTACTAACATGCAAACTCAATCTGCATTGGTAACTGATACCCTGGGAATTATGCAAATGACGGTATAAGACTTTACACTTGTTCTGTGCTATCACTCTGCTCGAGGCCGCGAAAGCCAAAAGGTTGGCGACCCACCCATCACTTTATGAGTAATTTGGGCTTGATGCTGTCCTCTTTTATTTTTCGCCTGGTTTTAGGCTTGGGGAAGGCCAAAGCGATTGCCCGTATCTTATAACCCTGTCATAAATAACAATACCCAGGGTAGCATGTTACATTACTTCCACTAGCGATGCTAGAAATCTAGTTATGATCTTACCCTACACACTCAACCCATTAATAAATGTGAACAGGCCAGGACTAGCTGCCCTACACTTTTCGAATTATGACATGCTTTTCTAACCTATTAACTGAAACTCTCTACTTGTTTACTTCGGACTGAGGAAAGTTTTGGTTACGTAATTCATGCGTAGCGTATAAGAGCAAAACAAAAGACTTTTCAAGGTTGTGGACAAGAACACAAACAATAAAAAACAAACCAAAAACAATAACAACAATAAAAAAACAAGAACAAGAATAAACAAAAAAACAAAACAAAACACAAAAACCAAAACATGCCCCCAAATAAACAAACAAAAACAAACAATAATACAACAATAAACCGACTAAAACAAACCAAAAAATGAATAAAAATCCAAACAAAGAAAGACAAAAACCCCAACCACTCCAGAAAAAAAAATCACAAAAAAAACATCAAAAACAACAACACTTAGCGCAGACCGACACTAATAAGGCTGTTATTCAGTGAATAAGCACCATTGGTGTTAAAGGCCACGCCCTCGTATTTGGAATCATTGGATGCTGTACGGAAGTACGGGGACGAATAATCCGCACACCAATTGTTACACTGCTTGTAACACTCCGTGTAACCGGAAACGAGGAAGCCAGAGTAGAAAGGATCACCACAAATCAGTAGCTGGTAGGAGAAAGAATTGCTTGTTCCAAAACCGTCCCACAATTTATTGGTGCTAACAGCATTCCCATAGTTCTCAGCGGCCTTTATGGGCTGGTTGACTTGTCGCTTAAAGTAGATTTTTTAAATTTATTTTTTATTTGTTATCTGCATGTGCTTACAGGTACAGTATTTGCATTGTTACAAGTGCTAATTATTGTGTATAGGTAATATAAGTGTGATTACAAGTACCGTATTTACATTGTTACAACGGCTAACTATTGTGTATAGGTAATATAAGTGTGTTTACAAGTACAGTATTTACATTATTACAAGTGCTTATTATAATATATAAGTAATATAATATAATATAATATAATATAATATAATATAATATAATATAATATAATA